TTGTTTATCTTTAATATATATCTTTTTCTTGATTTGTTTTTGCTAATTATTAATTCTTATTTTATTTTTCTTCTGTTTCAGGTTTTTACCTTATGATTTTGAATTCTCCACTTCTCATTTACATCATCAGGTAAGTAATACGTACGATGTTCGTTTTCACAAAAAATATAATGTAATATGTAGGAAAATTGTGTATGTATGACATTTTTTAGTAGTATAAATGATATAGACTTTAGATTCATACAAATTATTATTCCTTTGAGTGGATACTTTTTTGAAGATGTACACCCAGTATTTTTAAATAAGATATTTTAAATATTTCAACCATTTATATCAAGTTCCTTATTAGTGAGTATAGATCGATTATATTATATTTAAATAATATAATTATATTTAAATAATTTAATTAATATTTTCTTGTCAAATTTACATATGAAAGGACTCATAATCTTGAATCAAACAAAGAAAGTTGTACGTGCAATTGGATTTTTATATATCGATTAAAATTTCTAATGTCACTAATTATTAAGTATCTCTATCACAAATAAACACTATTTTACAAGTGTATTCCATGAAATTGACAATGATGCATTATCCACCTTAAAGAAACATATGTTGATAAGTGTTTCTACAATATGAAATACGACTTTTATTCGGCAACAACTTCTTGATATGCATGTGTCTATAAAAAGGATGATGTTACCATATCTTACACAAGATACAAACTTTAAGATGTGTGAAACACTTGCAAACATAATCAACGTTACTTATGTCACATATAAACCATTTGTTGTTGAAATATTATAAAAAAAAGATAAGTTAAGTGTTGTACTAAGTATAAGATATATATATTAGAACTATATAAGAAAAATATCACATATACCAATTCAACTGATTGTGTATAACTACAAACAATTATACTTCTCTTTCAAAATTTAGTTACTCAATATTACTTGCAAGTTTTAGTAGCATCTATATCATTTAATTTTTTTATACTAATTAACACAGGTTACACATGCAACGCACGTGCCTAGAGACTAGTAAAATAATACGTAACAACCATCCGAACAAGTGTAAGTACTAGACATATGACGGCTTGCTGTAAAGATAAGATCATTCACATTGATTAGATATTATTATTAAGGGGGAACCCATCGGTGGCCCCCTTAAGTTGGCACCAATTTTCACTTAGACACCTCAACTCAGCTTTGTTCATTTTAGACACCTTATGTCATATCCCGCTATGTCATTTTGACACTTTTTGTTGACATGTCATAGAGAGTGTAATACACTCATTATCAGCGCATGAAAGGCTTATTTAATCTTTTTTTTTCATGTTCTTCCTCATTTTTCAGCCATCATCTCCCAAAACTTAAACTCCTTTTATGGAGAAATAAATTTGATAATGCTACAAACAAAAAAAATGAATTTGAACCCATAGACTTATAATATAATGATATAATAAAAATTAAAAGAAAACAATGTGAAGACCCCTGCTATCGTAAAGAAGAAGAAAAATGGATAGTCATGAATTCATGAATAATCTCAAATTAGATTTGAGTAGTGGTATGCGTGGGTTTGTTATTCTATTCGAGAAGATGATGTGGGTTGGGAAGGGGTTGGGGTTAGGGTGGGTAGAGGTGGAGAAGATGATGGGTGGGTGGGAAAAGATTGGAGAAAACGCAGGGGTCGGGGTGGGTGGGGGAAGAGTGGATAAAACGCAAGGGTCGGGGTGGGTGGGGTGGGGTGGGGTGGAGAAGATGATCTGGGTGGGGTTTGGTTTTTTTATGTTTAAAGTCTTTTGGGCAAAAATTTCACATGTCATTCACTCATTGGTCACTTCTTTTTTGTACTAAAATCATTCTTTGAGAATTATTTTTTATATATATACCACGTGTCTTTATTTAATTCGTCATTTTGACACGTCATCGGCTAGTGTATTACAAACACTTTATATATTTGATTGATAATTAAAAAAGTGTCAAAATGTCACAATGGACCATGCCATGAGGTGTCTAAAATGAACAAAGGTTAGTTAAGGTATCTAAGTGAAAGTTGGTGCCAACTTTAAGGGGTTACCGATGGTTCAACCTATTATTAATTTTTAAAAGAAAAAAAATTCTCAAACAACAGGCAAGGCGAAAGGGGTGGGGGAGTTGAGTCACTTCAAAGTAGAGTGTGGACATGGAATTCCAATTTAACTGTTCCGTGGAAATATGAGATGGTCAATTTTAGACTGCTCTGCTCTCTATAAGAAAATGTCTTTCATATTCATTAACAATCTGATTAACATATTGTCCAAAATATGGTTCTTTTTGCCTCTCTCAAATACTTGTTTCTTATCCCTTTAGTCACTTCACTCTCCTTCAATTTTGATACTTTTACACCCAATGATCACAATGTAACCTATGAGAGAGATGCTTCTCCAGAAAATGGTGCAATTCTACTCACCAAAAACCTCCTCAATCGCGATATCAATGCTAGTATAGGTCGAGCTATATATTCAAAACCACTCCATCTCTAGGACAAGGTCTCTCGAAATCTCACTGATTTCACTACACATTTCTCCTTTAGCATTAATTCACAGGGAATAGCTAAATATGGTGATGGTTTTGCCTTCTTCCTAGCCCCTGCAGGTTCAACAATTCCTTATAATACAACAAGAGGTGGAAGCCTTGGCCTTACAAGTAATAATGAGCGACTAAATTCATCCAGTAATCATTTTGTTGCTGTGGAGTTTGACACCTATCAGAACCTGTATGACCCAAAGGGTGATCATGTAGGTGTTGATATCAACTCTATGCAATCTCTTGTTAATGTGACTTGGTTTAGTAGCATTCCAAATGGTACTAAAACTGATGCCTGGATTAGTTATAATTCTAACTCAAAAAATCTTACTGTTGTCTTCACTGGTTTTCAACTCCAAGGGAATAATATCACAGTCACTGTCCTGCAGAACCTATCTTACAATCTTGATCTGAGGGAATATTTACCAGAATGGGTCACTTTTGGCTTCACTGGTGGAGCAGGAAGGAGATTTGCATTTCAAAGAATCTATTCTTGGAATTTTACTTCTTCTTTAGATAATATGACAGATACAGAGGTAACCTTATCAAACACCAAGCCAAAGGATGCACCAACAAAAACTAAGTTAGGACTTGTGGTTGGATTGATTTCTGGTGGTTGTGTTTTGGTGTTGTTTGCATTTTGGAGAAAGAGTAAGGTGAGAGAAGATGATTATGTCTTTGATGGTTCCATGACTAATGAATTTCAAAAAAGTGCAGGACCAAAGAAGTTCTTGTACAGTGAGTTGGCTAGATGTACAAATAACTTTTCACAGGAAGAGATGCTTGGGCGGGGTGGATTCGGAGGTGTTTATAAAGGATATCTCAGTGAATCCAACTCTTATATTGCTGTTAAGAGGGTTTCAAGGGAATCACAGCAAGGAATAAAAGAGTATGTATCAGAAGTCAGGATCGTCAGCCGGTTAAGACATAAACATTTGGTGCAACTCATTGGTTGGTGCCATCAAAAATGAGAACTTCCACTTGTCTATGAGTTTATGCCTAATGGAAGCTTAGATCACCATATTTTTAGTGGAAAAAGCCATTTGGCATGGCCACTAAGATTCAAGATTGCTCAAGGCTTGGCCTTGGCGTTGCTATATCTACACGAAGAATGGGAACAATGTGTGGTGCATAGGCATATAAAGTCTCGCAATATTATGTTGGATTCTAATTTCAATGCCAAGCTTGGGGATTTTGGGTTAGCTAGGCTAGTTGACCATGATAAGGGATCCCAAACAACAGTTTTTTTGGCAGGCACGATGGGTTACATGGCTCCTGAATGTGTCACCACTGGCAAAGCTAACAAGGAAACGGACGTCTATAGCTTTGGTATTGTCGTGTTAGAAATAGGTTGTGGAAGGAAACCTATTGATCCTAAAGCAGAGGAGCATCAAGTAAACATTGTCGATTGGGTTTGGAGACTTTATGGGATGAGAAATATTCTTGAAGCAGTTGATCCGAAACTATCATCAGAGTTCAATGAAGAGGAGATGGAGCATTTGCTAATTGTTGGCTTATGGTGTGCTCATCCAGATAGTAATTGCAGGCCTTCTATTAGGCAAGCAGTTCAAGTGCTTAATTTTGAAGCTCCATTACCCACACTCCCTCGGAACATGCCTGTGCCCACATATTGCAGCTTCTCACACCATTTACCAACTATTTCAGTTTCATCAACACATGAAACCAACGGTACAGAGATTGCCCTTGCCCAAATCCAGCATTCAGTAAACGAAAACAACACTGATGCTTCAATAAAAAGAACATTTTCTTCAGCATCTTCATCTTCAACATCAGTTTTGTATCCAAGTTAATATTGCCCTGTTAAAATCCTGCATTTTGTCTTCCATTAGCAGTGTCCATCTTTTCCTCTCTTACTTTTTGTTGTTTCTCTTCTAATGAAGAGAGGATTGAATGGATTACATTTTCTGTAATTTTAACTGTTCTATTAAACACTGATAACGCTATGCTTTTTAAGGACATGTCTCAAGAATTACTCAATTCCAAATTCAATCTGGATTAGAAGGTGAATTTGAGTGACAAGAAATCTATCAGTAATAGTCTTTATTCTAGAACGATCCATCTGAAAGAATTCATTAAAGCTTAGAGCATGTGATATTCTTTATCAAAATGTTGGTAGACATGATCAGTTGCTTTATTGCAGTCTGGACAGGACAAGAAGTTTGATTTGTCTACTTGTCTCGTGCTACATTTATTTCCTCCCACAAAGTAGATTAAATGACACTAAGTACATTCAAAAAGTGTAATTCTGTAACTATAATTAGAATCTGAAAACTAATCAGAGAAAAGAACTGCTTAAAAGAACAGGCTAATATCAAGTTTAATATGTGGCCACCTTCTAATAAAGTTGTGCAGATGTTCAGAAAGATATCTACATGACCATATAGAGTATTTGTCTCTTCATATCTTTTGTACCTATGTTCTGCCAATAGGGTAAAAGTTTGGACCCAAAATAACCACTTTTCCCAAGTGCTTCCTCCCATTAAGATGTGCAGCCATATCAATCTCACCAGAGCATCTAACGTTACAAAAACCACACCATAGCCTAGAATTGTGTGTAGCACCATCGGAATTCATCACTTGCTTCAGCTTTTCATGTGGTCCAGTAGCTACTAGTTCAATCTTTTCTTTAGGTTTTTCATTAGGACCGTGTTTTTCTTGTACTGGAAATGTCGTTTCCTTGACCTGCATGTCTGCTGTATTCTTTGCGATCCAAATTAGATTTCCCTTCAGGCGTTTAACCTGCAGTACCACAGGGACATTTTAATAGCTGGCATACGGATTACTTTTGATTGCTTATATAAAACAAGTACTAGAATAGCATAAATGTGGTACTGATGTTTAAAAAAATTAAGAGCTTCAATAATCTCCCAGGCTTCAAATGTGCAGGACAAACAAAGGCTTGAGATCATACTAAGATAACTGAATCTAGTGCAAACTTCAAAAAGCATTGATTATTCAAAGTGCAACAGTTTCTGTTTCAGGTTGCTTGATGATTCTTTTAGCATAGACAAAGTTTCTTCTTGGTCTAAATGATAATGAACTTGGTACCAGTGTGCGTAATCAATTGCCATCTTGCTTATTCAGCTTATTTGATGAACCTTAATTTTTTATGCCTTCATATACAGTTAGGGGCCGTTTGGTTGCTGGTTAGAGTTATGCAGGTATTAGTAATGCAGGTATTAGTTATGCAGGTATTAGTAATGCAGGTATTAGTTATGCATGTATTAGTTATGCAGAGTTTAATTATGCAGAGTTTAGTTATGCAGAGTTTAATAATTTTTTTGGATGTTGGTTTGTTATATTAAAAATTAATAAACATTATATACTTGTTAAAAATAAATTATTTGTTATTGTTATATCTTAGACCTTTCTTACCGTTGTATTTTTATTTATTTTTGCGTTTTGCTTAGGCAAAATTTTGGACAGAAACTTAAATGCCACATTTTTCAACTTCCTCATATAGTTGAACCGATGTATATATATGATACGTGTTAACACGGGACCAATATTGTAATAGTTGAAACTTATTGATATGCTAGTACATATAATTATGTGTACATATAACAAAAATAGATACATATAAGTTAACATCTGAGCAACACCGCGTATTAATGCTAGATATTATATTTGGAGCCTTTACTTCAATAATCTATAATATAGAAATGAGGAAGTTTGTTTTTTTCTATTTGATGAAGGAGATCATATTTACAAAAGTCTTGGCAAGAACTAGTGGAAGCTCTAGAGCTTACTTCAAGCAAAGCCATTGATATGCACATTGATAGATATGGCTTACTTCCAATGGCAAGAACCATTGATAGAGGATGCTTACTTCCAACAGAACAATCTATTGTTGGACACTATCCTCAACAATTATCGACATTGTCCTCACCCATAGACAATATCCCCAATAATTTGAATGTCTACTTAATTTTCAAAATAATAATGGAGTACATTAAATCTAAATTTCAGTTTCGTCATACTAAATAATTCATTCAGTTACAATTTTCACATACTGCCATATCCTAAAATTGAGAGTCCATTTTTCAAGCAACAAAATAGTGACAAAATAAATTTTATAAGATGAAGAATACAACAAATCTAACATATACCATTGAGACAAACTTGAAATTCTAGTACCGTGGCCTCACGGAATCAAACTAGACCCACCTTCATTAAATGTGAAAGAAACTTACATAATTCACTGTTAAATTATATAAACTGGCACATAAAACATAGGCAAAATAAAACTTAACTAGGCCATGGTTATGCCTAACAAAGTAGCTACACCAAAAACCATTCAAAGGTTTAAAGTTTATCATCAATAATCATTCATACCATAGTGTAACGATCAAGCTCATTGATGCTTAAAAAGCACTCCATGAACTTTGTGTTGCTCCAGCTGATACACTAGGTTCCCCTTGAGCAATTTGATCTTCTTTCTTAGCTGGAGCATCATCTTCATCGACAACAATAATAGGAAATTCAAAAGACATATCATTAGCAACTTCTTGAGCTTCAATTCTTTCTATTTCTTGAACACCAACTTCTGGCCCCTCGGCAGATTGTTCAGTAGCTCCATCCTTGCGAAATATCTCTTCCCAATCAACAAATAATGGCCATTTCCTAAATGTCATTGACTTGGCATATGGATCAACCTAAGAAAAAAAAGAAACAAGTATATGAAGTAACTGATAATATTCCAAAGACAGAGATTATATTCACCAAGAGAAAATATAATTAACTAGCTTTAGTTTACTAATAATTTAAACAATTGTAAATCACCTTTATGAAGTCATCCCAAGCTTTTGGATCTTCAACCAAGATAGTTCCATCGCTGTATCGAAATCCTAAGCCACTTCGACTTTTTACCAATGATAGGGTCATATAATGCTTTTTCCACCCTCTTATTTTTGAAAAAATATGTGGTAGAGCTTGCAATCCGCTATTAGGATGACAATCATTCATGTGTTGTTCAAGTTCCATCAAATATCCATGTTTAAAGGTTCCATCATCTTCTTTCCAATCATTAGCACACAACTTTTTTAATCCATCAGCCAGAGTGAGTTCCTCTTCTTGAGTCCACACCCTTGCCCTTTTTTGAGACATGTTAGACCTTCTTTTAGTGGGACTGCCAATTTTAATCTGTAAGAATGTAAAAAATCACAATTTATACTAACTTATGATTCACTACAAAAGTATACTAACTTATTTTCACATATATTGCATTTGTCTCTCACCAGATTTACAAGAGAAAAAAAACAATATGATAAGAAGAAGACGAAAGCATAAGAAAAGGTTAAGATTTCAAAAGTTTCTAACCTCAAAGAAAGAATTTAGATTGAGCGTTCTTCAAGATTTGCCTCTTAGAAGATAATGAAATTTTAGATCTATAAAAAGGCATATAATGTATCTGATTGTATTTAATTAGAAGTGAAGAAGGGTCACAGTTACCTATCTACCATACACAATTGAAATGGTCAGCATTGGAGGTAATAAATCCATCCGTCCTTTGGTTAGTAATGGAAGTTTAATGCAATTCTAAGAAGTGAATGACAATTGAATGGTAATCCTTTAATGGATTCTAAAGTTAGACTTTGAGCAACTAATGACACAAATAGGCTTGCCAGATTTTAGAACTGTTGGAAAACCATTTCGACTAAATTTCCAAGTTAAAACGCCTAATTGCACAAACTCAAAACGAAAGCCTCGATACTCGAACCAACCATCCTAATAGACTAAAAATGACCTTCCGGATCTAACCGTGCTGACGGAATTCTCATCCGATCAGTTTTTACTAAGAATACTGACTGAAGTCGATATTTGAGTAAATTTCCAAGCTAAAGAGCCTAATTGCACAAACTCAAAACGAAAGCCTCGAAACTCAAACCAGCCATCCTACTAGACTAAAAATGACCTTCCGGATCTAACCGCGCTGACGGAATTCTCATCCGATCAGTTTTTACTAAGAATACTGACTGAAGTCGATATTTGAGTAAATTTCCAAGTTAAAACGCCTAATTGCACAAACTCAAAACGAAAGCCTCAAAACTCAAACCAGCCATCCTACTAGACTAAAAATAACCTTCCGGATCTAACCCTGCTGACGGAATTCTCATCCGATCAGTTTTTACTAAGAATACTGACTGAAGTCGATATTTGAGTAAATTTCCAAGTTAAAACGCCTAATTGCACAAACTCAAAACGAAAGCCTCGAAACTCAAACCAGCCATCCTACTAGACTAAAAATGACCTTCCGAATCTAACCGCGCTGACGGAATTCTCATCCGATCAGTTTTTACTAAAAATACTGACTGAAGTCGATATTTGAGTAAATTTCCAAGTTAAAACGCCTAATTGCACAAACTCAAAACGAAAGCCTCGAAACTCAAACCAGCCATCCTACTAGACTAAAAATGACCTTCCGGATCTAACCGCGCTGATGGAATTCTCATCTGATCAGTTTTTACTAAGAATATTGACTGAAGTAGAACTTTGAGTAAATTTTCAAGTTAAAACGCCTAATTGCACAAACTCAAAACGAAAGTCTCGAAACTCAAACCAGCCATCCTACTAGACTAAAAATAACCTTCCGGATCTAACCGCGCTGACGGAATTCTCATCCGATCAATTTTTACTAAGAATATTGACTGAAGTCGATATTTGAGTAAATTTCCAAGTTAAAACGCCTAATTGCACAAACTCAAAATGGATGCCTCGAAACTCAAATCAGACATCCTACTAGAACAAAAATGACCTTATGGAGCTAACCGAGCTGATGTAATTCTCATCTGGTCACATTTTACCAAGATATTTGAAATTTAGTCAAAGTTTGACTACATTCAATATTCTTGGTAAAATGTGATCGGATGAGAATTCCGTTGGCGCGGTTAGATCCGGAAGGTCATTTTTGGTCTGGTAGGATGGCTGGTTTGAGTTTTGAGGCTTTCGTTTTGAGTTTGTGCAATTAGGCGTTTTAACTTGGAAATTTACTCAAATATCGACTTCAGTCAATATTCTTAGTAAAAACTGATCGGATGAGAATTCCGTCGGCGCGGTTAGATTCGGAAGGTCATTTTTAGTCTAGTAGGATGGCTGGTTTGAGTTTCGAGGCTTTCGTTTTGAGTTTGTGCAATTAGGCGTTTTAACTTGGAAATTTACTCAAATATCGACTTCAGTCAGTATTTTTAGTAAAAACTGATCGGATGAGAATTCCGTCAGCGCGGTTAGATTCGGAAGGTCATTTTTAGTCTAGTAGGATGGCTGGTTTGAGTTTCGAGGCTTTCGTTTTGAGTTTGTGCAATTAGGCGTTTTAACTTGGAAATTTACTCAAATATCGACTTCAGTCAATATTCTTAGTAAACACTGATCGGATGAGAATTCCGTCAGCGCGGTTAGATCCGGAAGGTCATTTTTAGTCTAGTAGGATGGCTGGTTTGAGTTTCGAGACTTTCGTTTTGAGTTTGTGCAATTAGGCGTTTTAACTTGGAAATTTACTCAAATATCGACTTCAGTCAGTATTCTTAGTAAAAACTGATCGGATGAGAATTCCGTCAGCGCGGTTAGATCCGGAAGGTCATTTTTAGTCTAGTAGGATGGCTAGTTTGAGTTTCGAGGCTTTCGTTTTGAGTTTGTGCAATTAGGCGTTTTAACTTGAAAATTTACTCAAAGTTCTACTTCAGTCAATATTCTTAGTAAAAACTGATCAGATGAGAATTCCATCAGCGCGGTTAGATCCGGAAGGTCATTTTTAGTCTAGTAGGATGGCTGGTTTGAGTTTTGAGGCTTTCGTTTTGAGTTTGTGCAATTAGGCGTTTTAACTTGGAAATTTACTCAAATATCGACTTCAGTCAGTATTTTTAGTAAAAACTGATCGGATGAGAATTCCGTCAGCGCGGTTAGATTCGGAAGGTCATTTTTAGTCTAGTAGGATGGCTGGTTTGAGTTTCGAGGCTTTCGTTTTGAGTTTGTGCAATTAGGCGTTTTAACTTGGAAATTTACTCAAATATCGACTTCAGTCAGTATTCTTAGTAAAAACTGATCGGATGAGAATTCCGTCAGCACGGTTAGATCCGGAAGGTCATTTTTAGTCTAGTAGGATGGCTGGTTTGAGTTTCGAGGCTTTCGTTTTGAGTTTGTGCAATTAGGCGTTTTAACTTGGAAATTTACTCAAATATCGACTTCAGTCAGTATTCTTAGTAAAAACTGATCGGATGAGAATTCCGTCAGCACGGGTAGATCCGGAAGGTCATTTTTAGTCTATTAGGATGGCTGGTTTGAGTTTCGAGGCTTTCGTTTTGAGTTTGTGCAATTAGGCGTTTTAACTTAGAAATTTAGTCGAAATGGTTTTCCAACAGTTCTAAAATCTGGCAAGCCTATTTGTGTCATTAGTTTCTCAAAGTCTAACTTTAGAATCCATAACAGGATTACCATTCAATTGTCATTCACTTCTTAGAATTGCATTAAACTTCCATTGCTAACCAAATGACGGATGGATTTATTACCTCCAACGCTGACCATTTCAATTGTGTATGGTAGATAGATAACTGTGACCCTTCTTCACTTCTAATTAAATACAATCAGATACATTATGAGGAATAGATAGCTATTGTAGATAGATAGCTGTAACCTTTATCAGAATCACTTTATTTCCATTCTTTACTTGAAAGTGCATTAGTTGCTCTTTATTACTTTCACCAACTATCAATCCAAATGATCCAAATCCTTGTCTTTGTCAAAATTACTACAGTTTGTCTGCCATTTTCAACGTGGTAGTTCTGCAATAATGATGTGATATTCTTTATTTTAGAGCACCTCAACTACGTGACTATACAAATTAAGCTAAATGAGAAAGCATTCATGAGGAAAGAATTCAATCACACATAATTCATTGTTAAAATATTAGACACATCTTCATTTAAAGTGAATGAAACTTACATAATTCATTGTTCAATTACAAAAGCTGGCACATACAACAAAGACATACAATTACTTTTTTTTCAAAAGAAGTCTCCTATTTTTGTAACATTATCCTTCCATGACAAACACCAAGCTTCAAAAGTTGAATACCAGCCCCAATAACATATAATCACTTGACAAAATAGCATTTGAGTACTTTGTATTTCTGACTGGATCTTTGTGATTACTCCAACTGCTGAATAGTCTGCGAGAAAAGAAAATTTCAATACAGTCTCGGAGAAGAAGGAATTAAAAACACCTTGGAGAATGAACTTACCGTTTGGGTCAGCGTTTTGAGCAATCTGAAGAGCATCTGAGTTGGCTACTTAAAAAAACACTAATGTTGAACCTAATCATGCATTTGTTATACAAAAACAACCTACTTTAAGCCCACAACATTCACATATATGTACATTTGTGGACATTCTACTAGGTAACAAAAAATCCCATTATAGTTAGACCTTACAAAATAGCTACACAAAAACCATCAGTGATTTAAAGCTTATCATTAATAATCATCCATATCATACTGTGGCGTTCAAGTTCACTGATGCTTAAGAAGAATTCCATCCTCTTTATATCTTGAGTAATTCCCATTGCTGCCTTGACTCGTTCATCTGAGTTGTATATTTCAAATGCAGGGGATCCAATAATAGAAAATATCTTACCACGAATCTCAGATAGATCACGCTCTTCTAGCTTGTCAATTAAAGAAGCCATCCTTTTATCATGGCTTTCAGTGAATTGTTTCATCACCTCCATCAAACCTTTAAGAACAGTCTCATTATCATCTTCAGTTGTTTTTCTTTTTTTGCATCTACCTTTTTCGTTGACTTTAGAAGATGATGCTTTAAAACTATTACCTTGTTTTTGAGATTGATGGGTTTCACCTTTTTGAGTTGTGAATGAACTTTGTGCTGCTCCAGTTGATTCATTAGGTTCATCTTGAGTAGTAAATGGACTTTGTGTTGCTCCAGTTGATACATTAGGTTCCTCTTGAGCAGCTTGATCTTCTCTTGTGCCTGAAGCATCATCTACGTCGACAACATCAATAGGAAATCCCACAGACATGCCATCAGTAATTTCTTGAGCTTCAATTCTTTCTATTTCTTCAACAGCATCTTCTGGCCCTTCGGCAAACTCTCCAGTAGCTCTATCCTTGCCAAATATCACTTCCCAGTCAGCAAATAATGGCCATTTTTTTAAGTTCACTGACTTGGCATTTGGATCAACCTAAGAAAATAAAGAACAAGTACATGAAGTAACTGAAAATATTCCATAAACAAAGATCCATTAACCAAGAGAAAATATAAGTAAGTAGCAATTCCCTAATGATTTAAAATAAATATAAATCACCTTTATCAAGTCATCCCAAGCTTTAGGATCATCAACTAAGATACTTCCATCACTATATTGGAATCCTAAACCACTTCGACTCTTTAGCAACGATATTGTTGCATAACTCTTTTTCCATGCTCTTATTTTAGAATCAACATGTGGTAGAGATTTCAATCCACAGTTAGGATGACGAGCATTCATGTAGTGTTCCAATTCCATTAAATATCCATGTCTAAAGGTTCCATTATCTCCTCTCCAACCATTAACACACAATTCTTTTAATCCATCTACAAGAGTAAGTTCCTCTTCTGGAGTCCATACCCTTCGAGATGAAGGTGTTGATTTTCTTGCCCTCTTTCTGGACGTGTTAGATGCTGCAGCAGTAGAACTAGCCATTTCAATCTGTAAAATTGTAAATGAAATCACAAGTAATACTTTACAACTTACAAGTAAAAAATTTCAGCTATAACCAAATAACTTGTAATACAACTTGATTGATCTAGGAAAAAGATAATGTGATGACATATATACAAAATCACTACTTCTATTCAAAAATAATAGATATACATTGAGTTTCACAATTTGTTTGTACAGACAACAATGTGAGACATACAAAAGATTGACCATTCGTTTTCACAAAATAATAAAAGCTATTACATTTTACAGTGAGCGGAAAACCAAAAACAAAAGTGCATAAGCACACCAAAAGTGATCACATAGTTTAAAATTATAAAGATTGATTTCCCAATCTTTCATTCCACATAGATTGAGCTAGTTCATCCCTCCAAGTGGTCCACTCATCAGATGTTTCAATTGTATTAATATTGTCATGTTCATGTTGATTTTCCATGTGGAATTCCATTTCCACATCTAATGGGTCAGCTTCCATCTCTCTTCGAATGAAATTGTGAATCAAACAACATGCACTAATAATTCTATTGTGAACCTTAACCGAGTACCACGAAGGACTTCTAAGAATTCCCCAACGTCCTTTTAATAGTCCAAATGCTCTTTCAATAACATTACGCACCCTAGCATGCTTCATATTAAAGAGCTCTTCTCGACAGTGAGGTGACGGATTGTCACCTTGCCAATCCTTTAGCCAATATCTATATCCTCGGTAGGGAGACAAAAAACCATTTCCATTTGTATATCCTCCATCGCACAAATAGTAATTGCCTAAAAATGTAAACAATAATATAATTACTTTAAATATTATTTTATTTTGATGCTGTAGAAATAGACAAGATCTGCCTATTATTTAGCATACCCTGAGGTACTTTCAACCCATTTCTTCGTACAACAGCATCTCGCAATACGCGACCATCAGCGGCTGATCCCTCCCAACCAGGTAATACATAAATGAAGTTGAGATTTCTATCACAAACCCCCAAGACATTAGTTGCTATATCTCCTTTTCGTGTTCTGTATCTTGGCTTATATATTGCTTCAACTCTAATGGAAATGTAAGTACCATCAAATGCACCAAGACAACCCTATAAGATAAATTCAACTCTAAATACTAAAGGACTATTAAAAGTAAAAATACTTTCACCATAATATTTCAAGTTTGTTGTAGTAAATCAAATGTTAGATTGAAATTTACCTACCTTAAACCATTTCCATCGATCATCAGTATCATCTTCGAGCACCGGATTAGGTTTAACAAGTAACAATGGAGTTAGTTTAAGAATAGCTCTTAGACATTCATTAAAGGCTCGACTTACACTCCACCCCGATCTAATATAATCAACTTTGACAGACCTGTTCTTTTCGTGATGAGCCAAAATATTTAAGAACATTGCTAATTTTTCAGTACTCGACATATTTTTACTATCAGTCAACCCTCCAATATTCTTGGCTAAGGAGGCCAAAATGTGAAAGGCATTTCTATCCATCCTAAGCTTGTCAATACATACAATATCATTGTCACGAATGAGAACATTTAGATGAGACAAGATTTTAGGAATTCTAGCACTCATACAATATCGAATGACCCGTCTATTTCTAGATTGGTTTCTTAATAACATGCTGTAAATAGCCATAAAAAAGCAAATAAGGACAATATACGAATGCACCACAATTTCCTCGAGGATCATAAAGCATTCAACATCGCACAACTGCTGAGAATCCATTTACACCTATTTTCCATTTAAAAATTGCAACATCATTATCAAATTGAATCCAAAAGAAACAAAAGTATCAATCATGTTACTTAACTAATTATTGCAGACACATTATGTATAATAGGAAGGTAATAGATGGTTTCAAACTAGAATGCTCAATTTTATTTAAAAAAAAATGAAAAGTAACATTGAAAAACAGGGTAAAATGTTTATTTTTGTTTGGCTTCAATAGCTAGAATACAATACTATTTTGTCAAACTGCAAATAACATGTTCATCTTTTGCAATTTTAGAAGCTAAAACAACTAAACCTAATGAACCCATTTTTCAGAAAGCACGATTTTTGAACAAACAAAACAAAATCCACATCAAATTTGGATGTACTAAAACATCAACTTAACTAGAAAATACTGAGAAGATCTAGAATTTCATTCGTCTCTCATCAGATTAACAAGAGGAAAAACACAAAAAGAGAAAACAGGAGGAGAAGAAGAAGAAAATAAAACAAGATCAGCCAAATTTTGAGTTTCATAACTTCTAACCTCAAAGAAAGAACGTCAGATTGAAAGTTTTTCAATCTATTGGCCTGGAAGATGAAGAGTCATTTTAGATCTAGAGATATGGAGAGTGGATCTAAATGTTTTTCTAAAAAGAAGTGTTGTATATTTGATTGAGAGTGAAGGGCAAAATTGTCAATTTATATTTTTATTCAGGTATTAGTTATTCAGGTATAACTTATTCCATCTTTTACCCTGCATAAAATAATACATAGATTGACTCATAATTTAAACATGTATTAGTTATGTGGCTTTCTAATTTTCTAACCAAACATAGTATTATGTGTGTTGAATTTTATACATTTGACAAAAAATTGCTACCAAACATGGTAAAGCTTATGCAACATTTTATACCTGAATAACTCAATCCTTATCCAGTAACCAAACGGCCCCTTAAGGTTTATCTTGCACTCTTCCTAACTTGGCCACTAGTAGCATCACTAGCACCTAATTGTTGGAGCATCAAGCTCTCCTCTAGTCATCGATCACACCTAACAGCTTGGTTAACATTTTCATCTATGGTTTGCTTGACAGATTGCATCCATAGCAATACTTGTGAACACATAATATTCCATAAAAGTAACAATGTAAATTTTTTTGGGCTCAGCTGCTTCATGTTTTGCCATCTGTTCCATAGATTTGGTGTCTTCACAAACAGGACCACCCTCTTCGCGCACTATCTGTTTAGGGGGAGTAAGATTTTTATAGGGGATTTGTAAGGAATGATATCAAGTGAAGATGAAATGATTTTCATTAACCGCCCAAAAGGGATAAGAATGGGGTTTATTCTTAATTAAGGAAAACTCATAATTTTTAATGCTTTATATAAGACAAGTTATAGCTGCATAGTTTATGGGTTGGAAGGTACAATGCATCTACTCAGGGGAAGCATTTCATAAGTTTGCTGGAAATTAGAAAATCTCATAAGTTAGTGCATCATGTAATAATTACATTATGCAAGACATTCAATTAGTACTCGAGTGATAATTTAGTTTTCAGATTTATTATGAAGTAAAAACGCCAAAAGCAGCAGCATAAGAAGTTAACGACTATTTCATACATTATAGGGAGTCAGGAACAACAGCAAGTGTGACTGGTTCGGTTTCTCCAGAGGCTTAATAGAAAAGATACCTGGCTGGGGGTGAGCATTCCTGCTTTATCACAAGTGTCAGTAGCCTGGATCCGTTCTGCCTTGGACTGCAAACAGGAGACACTGACAATGAGTGTTGGGAAGAATCAATTCATAAATATTGGCTACTCATTGCTGAGGTAACATCTGATAGACCTTGTTTGTAATAAGTTTCTCCTGAGCATCAGATCCATTCTCTTCAAGGTACCTCTCTGCCACAGCCATAGAACTCATAGGTAATTGGTGTTTGGCCAAGTGCTCCATCCCATCAAGATGTGCAGCCATAGCAATCTCCCCAGGGCACCACAGCTTAGAATTATGAACAGCAATATCAGCATTCTTCAGTTGCTTTTGATTTTCTTGCTGATCAACACCTGCTAGGTGGACCGTTTCTTCCAATTTTTCATTATTGCTGTGATCTGATTGTGCTGCGGCTACATGTTTTGCTGGTTCCTGATTAAGCTGGATTGTCTGCTTTGTTGGAACTTCCGTTTCCTTGACCTGCATTCCTATCGTTTTCTTCTCACTCCAAATTAGATTTTCCCTCACACTTCTAACCTGCAGTTACACAGGGAACATTTTAGTCACTGGTATATGGATTAGTTTTGATTGATTATAGAAGAATTAGGCAGAATAAATGTGTTACTGATGTTTACAAAAAAAAAATGAGCTTCAACTCTTTCCCCTTTTAGTGGCTTCAAATGTTCTCAGGAGAAATAAACACTTGAGAGCATACAAAGATAGATGAATCTAGTGTGAACTGCGAACTTCAAAAGCGATAAATTTTACCAAGTCTGCCAGCTTCAGTTTCAGGTTGTTCGGTGATTCTTTTTAGCATTATACAAAGTTTCTTCATGGTCTAAATGAGCACTTGATCTCAGTGTGTATTATCAATTGCCATCTTGCACAATTACATTGATTGATGAGCCTAATTTTGCCTTCATTTAGAGTTAATTCTTAATATTCATTTAGCACTCTTCCTCACTTGGCAACCAGAAGTATCAGTAGCAGCTAATTAGCTTTTCACATGGGATTTCAAGCTCTCTCCTTGTAATCAATCATCACTAATCAGATTGATTAATGTTTCACCTATTGTTTGCTGAAAAATTGCATCTAGAGATTTACTTGTGAACCCATAAATCATAATATTCCAAAAAAGTAACCAAGGAAATTCAAGGGTTGAAAATTACAACCTGTTTGGGTTGAGCTGCTTCATATTTTGCCATGTGTTCCATCGGTTTGATATCTTGCCAAACAGGACAAGCCCCTTCACACAGTGTCTGTTGTTGTTATTTTTGGATAATGTATCAGAAATTTCATTAGAAATCAGTACCAAGAAGCTAGTAAGAAGTACAAATCAAGGAAAATTACAATTCTCCATTATGTTCCATTTATCCAAAAAATGTCATGCCATTTACCATATGACCCTTATACATGTCTGTTTTGGGGCACTGTGGTTGTTATTTACCAGATTTTAAGGAATGAAAGGAAAATCTGTTTCATGACAAATCATTTTTACTACAAAATCTGTTGCAAACAATGGAAAATGCACTCTTTCATGCTTTATTTTAGAAAACTGATAGCTGCATAATCTTTACACAACCTATTCCTCGTGTACATTCAATAATTTATTAGTTGGAAGGGACACTGCATGCATGTCTGCATCTACGCAAACATAGCATTCCTTCATTTTTTTTTTTTAAAAAAAAATAATCCTGGAAGTGTTGTATACCAATTATGAAACACAGACATAGGGCGGCCAGACCTGACCCCTGGCAACAAAGCATTCCTGAATTTGTTGGAAATAAGCTTCAAAAAATAGCGCATGATAGCATAAACATGCACACTATTCAATCCAAACTAAAACTGCTAGCTGATGCCACTTTCTTTTTCATTATTGAGTGAAAATGCATATAAAGCAGCACCACAGGAAGTTAAAAATTGTTTCATACAGTACAGGGAGCTCGGAACAACAGTTGAAGCACCTGGTTGGGGATAAGTGATCCTGCTTCCACACTAGTATCAGTAGTCTTGATCTCTTCTGCATGATGATTCAAATTATTATCCTTGCACTGCAATAGGACATCATGATAAGTACACTGATAGTAAAGCCCAAAGTTGCAATAAAATCCAGTAGAATGTATACATTTGTTTATGTAATGTTGGGAATCTAACTTTTGGCGACTGAAATAGATTAATAATCTTAATTCTCATATAACTAGCTGATGTACATAAGAACACGTGTGTGTCCAGTTTAGTAATGTACTGGCTACTCAATGCTGAAGTAGCATCTGACGTACCTTGTTTGCAATAAGTTTCAACAAAGCATCAGATCCATTTTCTTCAAGATACCTCTCTGCTGTAGTCAGAAATGATTCATTCTTGAGAGATGGATCCTCAATTGGCTTGTTCAACCGGTCAGCCACAATTTGAAGGTTGACAGACAAACATACATACAGAAAGCGTTGGTAAACATAGCAAAACCCATAAAACTGAGTGATAACATCATGCAGTTTCGCCAGCAAACATGGATGAATAAGTTTTTGATAAAGATAACACGCGCCATCAAACTGTGGTATCACCAACCAACATATGGTTATTAATTTAATATATGGCCACAGAGGAACCCTGCCAAAGTAAATGGAAGGACATTAGAATACTATTCAACATGAGTTGTTTCTCTCTCTTTTTTTTTTTTGGGTTTCCCACCCGGTGTTTGGAGCCCACATTGGAGCTCCGGCTAAATATGGATTGCGCACTGCAGTGCCTATTCGAAGGTGGCACTCCCAACAAGATTTTCTCCATACCCACTACCCAGGGCTCGAACCCGAAACTTCTGATTAATGGTGAAACAATCTCACCACTGCACTATAACCCATGTTGGTGGAGTTGTTTCTCATGTTCAACCACGAATATTGTACAATTTTCCCCAAAATGCTCAACAAAATCTTGAAATCCTCAACTTCTCAGCAAGGGAATTTAAGAAATAGAAGCAAGAACAGACATATAACTTGAAATAAGTGTGTCACCAAAGGATGTGGTGCAGTACATGGAGCTGCTCCTCCCTTAACCACTTGGTCTTGGGTTCGGGCCCTAGTGAGAGAGAGCTATGCGGCACGAATCCGGAATATCGGGCTCGTGAAACCAAAAAAAAAGTGTGTTATAAGAATTTAACAGCTAATTAAGAGTAGATGGAGCACATTAGGGTACCATTGAATAAGTTTGTCAAATATGTGGTGGAAAAGAGAAAAGATAATCCAGTATGTGAGTAGCTTTCTCATGTGATACTTTGAGTCAGTCTGAATCGCCCGGATTGAAGCATATCTGAAAGAATTGGTGAACATTAAAAGCTGAAGCAAAAATAGAGTAAAATAGTTGAAAGGAAAGTGAAGACTTACAGAGGATATCCCAGAGCAAGTAGGGGCCTGCAAAATATATAACAACTTGCGTGAATCATGCATGTACTAACAAGTAAAAATCTTGTTCGTTTTTTATACAAGATTCAATTTTTACCATTACGCACTAGAATGGAGAAAGAGATCAAGTGAACTTACCAAGCCAGGAAATCCATTATTTGAAGAGTAAATATGAGAAAACCCATCATCACACCAAAACTAGTAAGCCCTTTCTTCTCCACTAAGTGTTGTGATAACAACAAATCCCTACTGCATGCAAAATTGACCCCTCTTTGTTAAATAAGCTTTTTATCCCCTAGGGCCTACATCTTTTACGCCACTCGCTTAATTTGTTCTTTTTTAAAGGAAAAACATCCTACTAATTGAGAATGGATTTAAGCATCTTTAACAATGAAGGATAACGTTTACTTGACTAATACGAATTAATGTTTATTTATGGCTTAGTTTTTGTCATTCTTTCTACCTAACTTAACGAGGGGCATCTCCAAACACCAAATTTCACATCAAAATTTGGTGTCAGTGTAAATCAACTTCAATTTACTGTACCAAATTTTACACAAAAAATAAATATTTTTCTCTCTCTTCATTATTATATTATTATTTCTTATTTCATAAAACAATTTTTTTCTAAAACATTCACCGTATATAATTTATATTATTTTCTTTTATAGTCGTTTAATAGAAAATTATTTTATACCATAATATTTTAAATAATATAAATTGATAACAAATATTATACATTATACATAATAATGTATAATACAAATAAAAGTGAAATCATTAATGAAATACAATTAAATAAACATTATATAATTGAAAAATATATTTTAATTCTACATAAATATTTAAATTTCAAGATCACTATGGTACTCCCATAAATGCTCTATTAATGCATTATGTAGTTCAAAATGAGCTTCTTTGTCTTTTTTTTTTATTTTTATCACTTCGGTTATTTTTAAGTACATTGTATTATTTATTTAATAATTTATATGTTTGCATTTTTTATTTTTATGAAGGTTAATTGTAGTTATATCCAATTATAATTTATAGTAGAATTAACATAGATTTAATTTTAAAAAAAAAGTCATATATAGAAAAATTAATTTATAAAAAAAGATAACTTTTATATCTAATATTAATATTATAAAAATATTACATAAAAAATTATCACGCCCCAAAGTAGGGGGCATAACTGGCACTAGATACCCTATTAGAACAAGTTACCCACTAAAACATACAAGCTAACCAAACTGTGAGATAAAAAGAGTGGGCAGCACAACCTCTAAAAAGTGAATCCTGGACCCTGAAGGTCATGACCTGAATGAGAATAAACCATACAAACAATAGTAGGCAAGCAAAAAAAAAATAAAGATGTACTAGCTAGCCGACGAGGCCACAACTGAAGACATACCTACTTACACACATATATATACATGCCAAGACTATGGATTGGAGATTGAAACATACAAAAGAAAACTCAGCATATTGTGTCCACAATTGCCTCTATGAGTGATATAAGCACTGTCGGGACAAGGCCTCGACTATACCCATACTGTACAATAAAAGTAAACATCCTCTGATAGCCCCAGGATAAGATGGAGCTTACCAACTCACACCTGAACCTGAATCCTAGTGGGTGGGTCAATTAGAGTCCCTGTCTGTACCTGCTCGAACGAAACAAAAAGCAACGTCCCCAGGCAAAGAGACGTCAGTACGAATAAAAATGTACTGTTATGTAAAGCGGAAAGTAGAATCATAAATATTTACTGTAAAAGGGTAATAGAGATACCACTTGAAACTGAAACTCAAATAATCTCCATGGTTGACATTTGGTCCCCTACTATTTAAATATGCATGGTATGCTCGTATAATTGTATGTCATGAATATATATATATATATATATATATATATATATATATATATATATATATAGATGCAAATGCATGACATACCCAACCAAATGCTAGCAATGGTGGTGCCTTCCGGTAGGATCCAACATCATATTCGCCAACTTGTGGCCATATGTGTCTCATACGTATAAATATAGGCAATAGGCCCCATACCTCCCAATTATAGCTCGGGAGAAGAATGCATATCATGTCATGTCATGGATTTATAACACCTATAAGTTACTTTTGTCATGTTGTCAATCTTGGCCCGTTTGTAGTCTTGTTCTAATAACCCCATAATCACTTTTGTATAACATGTAACCATCTCATGGAACCTCATATGTTCTTCCAAATAAGCTTGAAAAGTTAACTCGAATTTTAGAAAGATAACGTAACCTTGCAGATATTTATAACAAGTTTAAGGTGATTTACTTAGTTCCTAGCTTGGTTCCTAGATAATTTATAAAAAAAGTATTTCAAAAACCAACTGTTCTAATAGTTTAAACATTTAAGTTATATTAGAGAGTTTTGAAGATCGTGAGTTACTTTAAAGATTTTTCATAATAACTTTAGTGGGGAAAGAGGGCTGGTTAAAAGTAATAAGGGTCTCCCATGATATTTTAAGTCACATCACCCAAAGAAGAATGAGAATTCATACATGCGGACATATAATCAAGGAAACCGATAAAATGACATGTAGATGTCAAATACTCTATTTATCTGAACAAGTGGAATATCAAAATAATAGAATCATGAAAATAATTCAGCTGAGATCTCAATGCCTTTCACTGAAAGTCTTTCTAGCAAGAGAATAGCAAAATATCACATTCGGCGTTTTAGAAATTTCCCAGGAGTGGTGCTAAAATGAGGGACGTAGCTTAGCCTTAACATACCTTTCCAATGAACGCTCGAATGACCGTAGTTCACGAAAGTTGTTCCTTACGTCCTAAGCTTCGGAAACACTATATATACACATCTGGTACGCACCTATAAATAGTTCATGATTGATCTTAAATTGGCAAATTTGCCAAATTGCCTCAACTTGACAAAACGTCTGTAGAACTTCATAAAAACAATCATAAGAGAGACCCGAGATGATTACCTTAGTTAACCAACTGTAAACCTTGAAGAAACACCAATAACTACAAATTTATATCTGCAAAAACTAGCTCCAAACGCAGCTAGTAGAAGGGGAAAACGATTGCCACGTGTAGAGATCACATTTCTAGGCACGGGGGCAACCTTATGGTAGACATCGTCAAAAACTAACCTTCATCATGCAAGAACTCTATTAGAACCATCCCTTAAGCTTTCTTTCTGGTTAGGGAGTGAAAAAATAAATTTTGTGACTTAAAACGTTGAGTAAGCCGACATACCACATTTATTGACCTGACCCGGATTTAGCCCCGACAGTCCACGGTAAAACCCTCATAACTCTTTACTCTGATGTCAGTTGGATACGGGGTTTTGTGCGTTGCAAAATAGACTCATAGGCCTTCGATTTAATTGGTGATATAACTTCTAACTCTTTATATATTTGGAGAAAACATCCAAGACATTTGACCCAAAGTTAAGAAAATATTATTAGAGAAACTTCGATAACTTTTGCCGATCTTAGTTTCACTAATTTTCTTGACTTCAAAACTTAACATACGACCCTTGTGCTATTATAATACCTCATAACACACTATTCTTAGCATGTTGTACACTCATAGGCTTATCCACAAGGTATGAGACAATTTAAACCTTTCAAACGGGCGAAGTTCTACCCGAGCCATTTCTTTAATCATGAACTTTGTTTGAGGGGTCCCTTTGACCTAAAACTTTAGTTTAGTTCCATGATATTGCCACCTATTTGCAATCGTATCTCCAATGTACAATACAAAATCATATACACCTCATATAATCATGGCATACTACGCCACATATATTATGCAAGAATAGAGAAAAAGTACGGGATCTTACATTCTCCCCCCTTTATGAACATTCTCCCGCGAATGGATCTAAACAATTCCTTGGTTGTGTTTTTCTTTTTTTTTTCTCATAGGACTTTATTTGCGAGTCTATATCTATTACAGTCGCAAATTAAAGTCAAAATTTGAAAATTTTAACTCCTAAGCTTTGTATAGCTATCTCATAAGAAGACATATAAATTGCACCTTCAAGCTACTTAAAATCTAATCAAGTCATTGTGAAGAAATAATTGCCAATTATCGAAATGTGACTCACATTAAGTCGTAAACAGTTGGGGGTACTCTTTCCTCATTTCCTCTTCCGCTTTCCAAGTCATTTCCTCGACGTTGTTATTTCTCCATAACACCTTCACAGAAGCTACATCTTTAGTTCAAAGCTTTCTTACTTGCCGATCTATAATCGCTATTGGTACCTCTGCATAAGATAAATCTTCAGCGATACGAATATTTTCAATGGGCATAATACGTGAAGGATCTCCAATGCACTTCCGCAACATACAAACATGAAATACATGATGGACTGCTTCCAATTCGAAAGGCAAATCAAGCTCGTATGCAACCATACCGATCTTTCAAATAATCTTATATGGTCCAACGTACCTAGGACTGAGCTTCCATTTCTTTTCGAATCACATGATGCCTTTCATAGGCGAGACTTTCAAGAAAACCCAATCTTCTACATCAAACTCTAAGTTCCATCGGTGAACATCTGCATAAGACTTCTGCAGACATTGTGTTGTATGAAGCCGATCTCTAATAAGCTTAACCTTTTCAATCGCTTGTTGGACTAGATTGGGACCTATCAAATCTGCTTCCCCGAGCTCAAACCAACCGATCGGGGATCTACACTTTCGCCCGTATAGCGCTTCGTAAGGGGCCATCTGAATACTAGCTTGAAAGTTGTTATTATAAGCGAACTCAATAAGAGGTAGATGTTGATCCCAACTTTCTTTAAAATCCAGCACACAAGCACGTAACATATCCTCAACCGTCTGAATAGTACGTTTTGCCTGTCCATCAGTGTGTGGATGAAAAACAGTGCTAAGATTTACCTGAGTGCCTAGACCCTTCGGAAACGATCTCAAAAAATGTGTTGTAAATTGAGCTCCTCGATCTGAGATAATAGATAATGGAACTCCGTGAAGGCAAACAATCTCTTGAATGTAAAGCTTGGCATAATCTTCAGCTGAATATGTCGTCCTAACTGGCAAGAAATGAGCAGATTTTGTCAGCCTATTTCCATAGAATCATACCTTCGTGGAGTGTGAGACAAACTAGTGATGAAGTACATATTTATCATATCCCATTTCCATAATAGAAGCTCAATATACTGGGTTAGGCCTCCAGGCCTCTGATGCTCTGCTTTAACTTGTTGACAATTGGGACATTCAACTACCATCTTCGCAATATCTTTTTTCATGCCATTCCACCAATAGATCTGTCGAAGGTCCTGATACATCTTCGTTGCTCCAGGGTGAGATCCATATCTAGAATAATGGGCCTCTGAAAGAATATTTGTACGGAGCTCTCCAACTGCCGGTACACATAAGCGGCCCTAGTATCTAAGGACTCCATCTCCAGTTAGCTTAAATAAGAGTTGTTGTTGTTGTGGAATCTTTTGCCTCAATTTCCTAAGCTCATGATCTTCATGTTGCCGCCTTTTCACTTCAGTCACAAAGGAAGATTCTGCCATATTCTTAATGACAACACCTCTGCCTCCTGCATCTAGTAAGCGTACTTGCAAATTAACTAGCTGGCATAGGTCTTTTGTAATTCCAGCCTTATCAGCTTCAACATAACTTAGACTACCCATGGACTTTCGGCTGAGTGCATCAATAACAACATTAGCTTTGCCGAGATGATATAAAATGTCAACATCGTAGTCCTTTAATAATTCTAGCCATCTCTTGTGTCGTAGGTTCAACTCCCTTTGCTTAAGTAAGTACTGAAGGCTTTGATGATTGGTGAAAATATCTGTATGAACCTTGTATAGATAATGCCGCCAAATTTTTAGGGCAAAGACAACTGTAGCCAACTCAAGATCGTGTGTCAGATAATTCTGCTCATGCTTCCGCAACTGTCTAGAGGCATATGCAATAATCTTACCATGCTGCATAAGAACACAACCTAGGCCAATTCTTGAGGCATCACAATAAACAACATAGCCCTCATTACCAGCTGGAAGAGTTAGAATAGGTGCAGTGGTAAGCCTTATTTTTTAGTTCATGAAAGTTCTGTTTACATGCCTCGGTCCACTGAAACTTAGTTGCCTTATATATTAATTTTGTCAGTGGTGCAGAGATAGAAGATAATCCCTCTACAAACCTTCGGTAATACCCTGCCAAGCCTAAAAAGTTATGAACCTCTGTTGGATTCAAAGGACTCAGCCAAGTCATCACTGCTTCAATCTTTTGCCCATCAACCTTAATACCCTCACTTGTAATAACATGACCAAGAAAAGCGACATAAGTAAGCCAAAAATCACATTTAGAGAATTTAGCATATAACCTGCAATCTGGGAGAGTTTGCATTACAACTCGCAAGTGGTCTGCATGCTCAGCTTTCGACCGTGAATATATAAGAATGTCATTAATAAACACAATCACAAATTCATCCAAGAATGGTTCGAAGACCCGATTCATAAGATCCATAAAGGCTGCTGGGGAATTTGTAATCCCGAAAGACATGAAAAGGAATTCAAAATGTCCATACCTCGTCCTAAATGCTGTTTTTCGGATATCAACTTCCCTGACTCACAGCTGATGGTAACCAGACCGTAAGTCAATCTTGGAAAAACATTTGACACCTTGTAATTGGTCGAATAAGTCACTAATCCGTGGAAGTGGATATTTATTCTTTATAGTGACTTTATTTAGTTGTCTATAGTCAATACACATCCGTAAGTATCCATATTTCTTTCGAACAAAGAGCACTGGGGCACCCCATGAGGAAGTACTTGGCCTGATAAAGCCTTTATCGAGCAAGTCTTTTAGTTATTCCTTCAATTCTCTTACCTCTGTAGGTGTCATTCCATAGGGAGGAATCTGTTGGGTTCTGAAGGGTGATTGGGCGTCATGCGGAAACTTACTATTTGCAATTCATATAGTTGATAAATCAGATAACAAAAACTTATACTAAAAATCAAAATATTATTATATCAAAACTAATATAAAGAAGAAACAAACCTATATTTATAGAGTCTTAAAACCTTTCCTACTAGAAAAGGAGTCCTAAAAGGAGAGAATAAATCAAATATAAAATAATATTATATTTTCCTTTCAAGAAAAGTAAAAACATTTATGGTAATGTTTTGTTTTTTCTTTAAGGAAAAATAAATCTTAAATTATGGTAAGAAAATCAGGGCAAAACCCTAACAAACGATATAGGTTGCGTATCAGGAAGCAAGTCTATAGCGAAATCAATTTCCCTTTCTGAGGGAATTCCTGGAAGATCATCAGGGAATACCATTGGAAATTCATTCACGATAGGAATTGACTAAACAATCATGGGCTCCTTATTAGTATCTTGTACATGAACCATATGGTATATACAACCTTTAGCAATCAACTTCCGAGCCCTAAGGTATGGAATAGACTTACCTTTAGGTGTGGCTGTATTACCCTTCCACTCAAGGACTGGCTCACCTGGAAAGTAAAATCTGACTATCTTTGCACGATAATCAATATTAGCATAGCAAGCTGCCAACCAATCCATACCCATGATAACATCAAAATCTAGCATAATCAACTCAACTAAATCAGCGGGGGTTGAACGATCATTAATTAACACCGTGCAACCTCGATATACACGACTAGCTAAAATAGAGTCGCCAATCGGTGTAGACACCTCAACTGGTTGTGGCAACAACTCAGATTTCATGTCAATCTTACTAGCAATAAATAGAGTAATATATGAAAATGTAGAGCCAGGGTCTATCAATGCGTAAACAACTTGAGAAGATATCGTCAATCTACCTGTAACAACATCAGGGGATGCCTCTGAATTTGGTCGTCATGTGAGTGCATAAAAGCGTTTCTGGCCACCGCTCGAACCTATATCTCCTTCACCGCTCCCTTTACCACGACCCTGAGTAGATTGTGGTCCTGGTCGTGGGCCACGGACGGAGGGTGATGATGCTGCTGTGGATCCTGAAGGCTGAGCTAGATCACCTCTGCTCAACCTCGGGCACCGACTAATAAAATGTCCTGTATGCCCACAATGATAATATGCAGCTGAACCCTGTCTACACTGCCCAATGTGTGGCTTACCGCACTGTGTACATAAAGAAATAGGATATCTTATCTGTGCGGAATGATCTTGTTGACGACCCTCAGGCTGGCCCGAGCTATGACCTAGTCCTAACTGACTATAACGATCAAACTGCGGTCCCTGCACCTGTGGTGAGACACTACCCGCTGGCCGAGGTGGATATCGATGGAATGGGGGCCTAAAATCACCATGTGGCTCCCTATAAGACCCTATAGTACGGGCCCTCTTACTTTGCTCCCTATCCCTACGAGTATCACGAATCCGTTTAGAAAGGTCCTCTATAGTCTGAGCGAAAGACTGTATGCGAAAAATATCTACATCATCTGATAGGGATGCTACCCTACAATCTCTGATCAAATAATCTGCCAAACCACCAACATAACGATGAACTCTGGCTCTCATGGTATGTACAATATCTGGTGCATATCTTGCCAAAGAATTAAACTCGTGGCTATAATCCCTCACAGTCATGGTTCCTTGCTTCAGATTGATAAAATGGTCAAGTCGGGCCTCTCGAACTTCCCGTGGCGAATAGTGGGCAAAGAAGGCCTCAGAGAAGTCCTCCCACTCTACTGGCCGAGCATCTGGTCCTCTAGATCTCTCCCATGCCTCATACCAAAGGATGGCTACATCACGTATCTGAAATGAAGCTAACTCCACAGCCTCTGTGACAGAGGCATGCATCACCTTCAATACTCTATCTTTAGTACAAGCTAGCTCACTTAAAGATTTTTTGCTTCTATCAAATTCAACTTCTAATCCATGTTCGAATACATCACTGATCGCTCAAGAGATTTATTTAAGAACATAGTACCTATTTTCACTATTTAATGTAAACTTTGAACAAGAGTTGTTGATTCATTCAATCATCTTCATAACAGTAGAAATAATAAAGAATACATAGAGCAAAAGTTGGACACTGCAATTGAAAGATTGAATGCAGGGAAATAAAAGACCAGTTCCTATACAAGACAATATCAACCTGTGTACAGAAGTGGTGCAGAAGGCGAAGATGCTACAGAAGCTACTGTGTTATTTGAAGAACCAGTGTAGTCTCCCGTCCCTGAAGAGTGTATTTCATAAATCTGAGGACCATTGGAGTCGTATGGTGATGTAAATGAAGTAGTTGATCCATAACTGCATTATGTCGGTACATACATGTTTGGAAGGAGTGTGGGCAATGGAGCTTCAAAATTAAGCACTTGAATTGCTTGCCTAATAGAAGGCCTGCACTTGTTATCTGGATGAGCACACCACAAGCCAACAATTAGCAAGTGCTCCACCTCCTCTTCAT